TCAAATATCTTGTTTGTGGTCTATCAATCCATTGAACAATATCATTAACATTATCTAGAGCCATGATTTTCTCACGTGAAATATTGCCGCCACCACTAAGATTCGTTAAATAATTAATCAATGGAAAATTACTTGGTTCATGTACAGAATTAGAATTAAATATCCATATTGGCTTTGTTGTCAAATTATTCAATAGAGTTGGTTCATCATTACCAATAGTCGAAAGACAATCACTAAATAAAAAATAATGTGTTGTATTTGGAATGGTAGTTGAAAGTGTAGCTAGTTGAAATAGATTTGTTGCACCATCATATGATAGATTAGTTAAAAACTGATCAAGTTGAGACCAATAGTCCTGTTCTTGTAAGTTAAATGAACGTGGTTCTTCAATTTCATTTCGAAAAACAACAATAATTAAGTTAATATTATTACCATTCAATTTCCAAGTATGTAATATCATCTTTAGCATATTAATTTCATGATTACGATTTTCCAAATTAGCTCGACTTAAACTTGCATCCCAAAGTATACAAATCGACATTGAATTTTGACTATTAGGTACAATATTATTTGTTTGCGATAATGGTGGCACATAGCATAAAGCAAAATAAGCTTGTCTATGATCATCAGGATCGATTTCTACACTATGAATAGGTTGTTTTGGCGTTAGATTTTTTAGCATATATGTAATAGACTGTTCATCTTGTGATGATTTGACATTGACTTGGTGAGATTCAAAACAATATCTTCCATTTGAATTCACAAAATTTTGTTGAAATTTTACTTTGGAAAGAAATTCTGGTTGACAATCATTTGATGCATGTGTACAAATCAATGAAATATCCAAATTTTCAAGTGTAGTATTAAAATATATAGGAATATGAAATAGAAAATGATCATTTTCCATTTGTGCTTGATCTTGATAAATGATACGAACAATTCGTGTGCCTCCAACTGGCATTGGATAAACTCTTGTACGAAATATATTTCCTTTGATCATCTCAACTAAACCTGGATCAACACCTTTTCGAACTTCTTTTTCAAATGTAACACGAGCTTTTTCTTTTTCAACAACAACACCATCGACAATAATACCATCAACATCAAGACCTATGAAAAATAAATATCAAAATTTTTATTTTTAGATTCGTAATTCTAAGAAATAAAATTGACTTACCAAATCCACATATAGTTGCTGTTTCAGGTAGAGTAAATTCTAAAGCTCCTTCTAATATTCGATTATGTTCATTTTTAAATGTCATTGTTGTTGCTACTTGATATATGAGTGGAAATTTTGCATTCACTTGTTGTTCGACTTGTAATTTAATCATTTTCAATGGTGTCGAAGCAGCATCACCAAATTTCGTTCGCTGACCAAAATACATCGGAAACGACGTACGACTATTGTCATAATTAGTACGTAAAGACATGTTGAAGACAATTACAAAAAATTCAATCTTAAACTAGAATGAATATGAAAAACATAAATGTTTCTTATGAAACATCACTACCAATTTAAAACAAAGTCTAAAGTAGATACGATGCTTTCGACATTTAGCCTAATGGTTATCGAAAAACGAATGGGGCGTTTGAATATGAGTGTGGATGATACTCCACACCCGCACTCTAAGATATGAAATTCGGACCATTTCGAAATTTTTTTTTGTAATACGCAATTTTTCTCTCCTTTCTGTATGAAATTACAGAACAACATTTAGCAATGATAGCAAGATATATGTTATTTCGTAAATTCGTACAGGAACGAAAGAAAAATTACGTATTACTTTCATCATAGTGTCATAAGAATTTTTCTTTTCATCCTTTCGTTTTGCTTGTTAGAGTTTCAGTCTATCGCTATATAGCTCTAACAAAGATCAGTAGTTTGAATGAAATCATTATCAATGAAGCTCTAATAAAGGATCACTGAATTTTATAATGTTTAGTGTGAAAAATAGTCCTAATATGCAGTAATGTTATTATGAAACTCTTACGAATACAATAGTACAGCACAGAATGGACGTCCTTAATAAAAAAGTATGATTTTATAAACAAACAAACAGAAGAGAATAAGGAGACAGAAATGAAACCATGCTTACTTTACCTTTCTATACTATTTCAATATTAATCTACTGTAAACTAACTACTGTACGCTTACTTCAGAATCGAAAAAACAGCATCGTTGCACAATTACACGCAATATTACGAAAAGGAAAAGATAAAAGAAATATAATTGGATTGGCTGACGATGTATCAATTCAAATGTTTGTTACGGCTGCACATTACGACGATAATGATTCAACTTCCGAATTGCATAAAGACCATGAGGTTTGACTGTAAATAAAAAGGGTGTGGGTGTAGGTATTGGTGAAGAGAAGACTAACATCCACACCCACACTAGTGATCAGTGGAGTCGCAGTTTTTAATTCTGAAACTCAACCCGATTCTAAAAAAATTTTTTTCGATTCCGAAAAGCTCTGAAATTTTTTTTTGTAGCTCAGCGATAGCTATTTCATATCAAGAAATCGATGATTATTGGGTTGTTGATTTTAGTCAGAATGTTTTCGACAATAAGCCTTCTGATATTATTGATATTTTATTGTTTTGATGCCGACAACAAGATTTATTTCCAATATTATCAATTATAGCAAAAGTGGTTTATGCATTGCCAGGTCAAACAATCTTTGCGACCAAGTTTCGTCGGAATCCGACTAAATTCGGTCACAAAGATTTTATAAAATCTAACAGTAACCGACTGAAAATGATTGGAACTCAATAGATCCGATCGAATATAAGGGTCCTTGGATATCAGCTTCCAATACTATTATTGAATGTCTTTTTGTAGCAGCGAAAAATATCTTCATAGAAACAAGAACAGCTTTTGATTGTGAAAAAATAAACCAAATACTATTTTTAATAAAAGAATATGAAAACTTTGAAAGATTTGTGAAATAATGATTTTCGTAGAAAACGAATAGCGTCAAGATCATCGAGAACAATTCTATTTTCTGAAGAATCAACCTTCACAGGTTCTAAACAATTGCGCCTCGATGCCAACAATAGTTTCAATGACTTTAATAAAGAAAATATTCGTGTTATTTATAAAACTATCAATCACATATGTCTGTTCATTATATGATAAATTCATGCGTAAACTTGTTTCTAAATAAAAATCAGATGATTTAATTCTTGAAGTAACATATCTTAGACATAAACTCCCAAAAATATGTCTTTCAACCTCTACTACTTCAACTCTATAAGAATCAAAATCAAATTTCGGAGTCTGGCCCAGTTTTTTATTCTGACTTCGACTTCGTTGGAGTCGGAATCGGGTTTAGGACCCCGATGCAATTCACTAACCCATACCCTCTTCTCATTTCAACAGTAAATATAATGTGGATGAACTTATTACCAAATTTATTTCTTTTTCGATTCGTCTACAGTAGATAGATTAATTGTGAAATTCAAAAATTACTAGAAAACAACGACAGTCAATATGACTCAGCCTACTTGCAATAACATTGAATATTTCTCGTGGATTGTTATCATCTATACCACGTATTAATCAAATTTGTCGACAAATTCTTCAAAACTCATTGAAAAGTTTCAATGAATTAATCAATTCTAAAAAACAAAGCGTATTCTCTTCTTAAACAAATAATTGTTTTTTTGTTTTTCTCTGAACTAGATATCAACAATTGGTCAATATAAAATAAAATAATACATGAAAATGTATTCAAACTATTCAAGAATAACATAACTCCTATTTGCAAACAAAAAAAAATGATCAACAATATCAAGTATTATACAGGACATGTCATTATTGATTATTAATTATTCTAGAGTATTAGAACTTCATCATTCATGTATAAGTTCTATAAAATATTCCTCAGTTTTATGAACAATTCCTTTTTGTTTCCTTTCTTTTCATTGAATAGGATGTGGAATAATTGCAGATTTACAGTCATCTTACATGAAATCATTGTAAATTAGTTTTTTTTTCATCAAACTTCTACGATTTATTTGTAATTTGTTTTTCATTTGTCAAAACTCGATAAAAGAATATTGAGAAATATATCTTTAAACACTTTTTTCTATAAGATTGTCGACTCAAAACAATTTTGTCGTGCTTTGAAAACGAAGAAGAAATTACAAAAACATAATTTTTTTTTAAACTTCAATTTCTATTCTTAATTAAATGCTAATAAATGACACAATAAATGTGAAATCATCTTTTATTTTGAAAACTGAATAATAACCATGAGCAACAGTAAAATAAAAAGAACAAGTATCACAGATGTTTGCCAAAGAAAAAGAACGCAAAAGAAAAAGTAACTATCTAATTGTAAGAAACATGAGTCTATGCATCTCACGCTAACTGAAATAGAAGAAGATCGAAAAGACTTTATCTCTTAGCTAAACAAATCAATAAACAAAAAAAAAAATTTGAAAGAGGATCACAAAGGTCAACGAGTTTATATCACTTCAACTGTAACCATGTTTATCAAACAAGAAAAATCAAAAGAATACGAGCAGAAAGAAAAGAAACGTTCTAAAACTCAAAATGTATTTGAGGTTTTAACTGATAGAAAAGCGATAGAGAATGTCTAATTAAACACAATAAATCTAAGAATAGTTTTATATAAAAATTCTCAAACCATCATCTTCATTATAATCAGTATAAAATTTGTTTTTATCTTTTAAACATGTATTATCAACCAACCATTGTTTCACATCGTTCTCTAATTGTTCATCTTTTTGAAATTCTTCTGGATTAAAATTAAAAACACAAGTAGCAACATCAACGCTTTCGTGTCGTGATTTATATTTAATTGTTAAACAGTGCAAATTTGTAAAACTATTCAGAATTTGTGCAATAGGTGTTTTCAATGGAGATGTGTATGGTACTACTATATTTTGTGCTGTCATCAATTTTAAATATTGGATTTTATCTAATGATTCTTGACATACATCTTGTATTTCATTAATTTCTTTTGATGTCAATTCTTCATATCCATAAATTTCCAAATATTTCAATCTTGTACAAAATGATGGCCATTGTTGTTATTGTTTGAAACGACTAATTACACTGATATTCTCCATTGATGTTTTCAAATGATTCAAATTTGGTGATAATATTAAGAGTTTCAGAGCAAATTTTACGAGATATTCAATACTTTCATTTGATTCACCATATGATGAACGATTGTTGTATCGAAAAAGTTAAATGTTTTAGTTTTGGAAATGGCAATTCCAATTGGTCTATTTCAGTGTCTAGAAGAAGTGACATAGAAATAGAAATGATATATCTAAGAACAACTGAGGAGTGTGTATCTTTTTTTGTGACCTATCCAGTATCCGATTCCAAAAGTTCGTACAGATCTAGAATTTTTTTCCAAACAAGGATTGTTCCATTTGGGTTTGGCCTTTTTGGAATTTTCAAGGCATTGTGTATATAACCAGGTTTTAACTAGTGTTCAATACATCTCCTAAAAGTTCATTTCACTAAACTGAATTTCTACCGGAAATAGTAGACATAATATCTCGGAGCTCAATTTTTTTTTCTTTTGAAAAAGTATGCTTCATTCAAACGTTCTAGCACCAAAGAAAAAGACTTTGTCCAGAGGAGAAACCGAGTTTTAAAATTAAAGTTAGAAAATTTTTCACTTGAAAGACACTCTTGTTTTGAGTTATCGGAAAGATAAACAAAAAACAAACAGCTACAGTTTAATTTTCAGTCACTCGATAAGATTATAAGAATATAATTATTCAATGTTTTGTGGACGAAAACTTTGAAATTTAGCCTATTTTTACCCAAGCAAAACAAGAAATTCTTGTTCCTCTTTTTTTTGCTAATTTGTTTTCTAGTTTGAAGTGTGCCCTATGAGATGATACCTCAGCCTGAGATGTTCGAAAGAAAAATCGACTAAGTTTTAGGAAGCTTCGACTCTTTAGCCTAAAAGAAAATGTCTAGACACAGCTAATGAGCGACATTGATCTTTGTTCAGACGTAGTTTTTCATTTGAAGACAAATAATTGCAGTTTAAGGACTTTTAGCAAATGGAGTTTTTTCAATATTAATACTGAATAGCCGATTCTTCTCAAAATACTATAAACTACAATGTTTTGCTTCTAACCGAAACGTATGTTAGCACGATGATCAATGCCCTTGATCACATATGTTCCAAGGATCTGTTGAACTACTAACTTCGCTTTTGCGAACAGCCACCTTGTCCAATGACGTTCATATATCCTAGGACAAAGTGAACGTCAGATGCTGCAGTGATACTATTCGAAAGGGAACCTCTTGGACAATAAAATCAACGAAAAAACAAAAGAAAAATTTATGACAAAGTACGCTAATTTACCTAACTTTCTCCGCTAGAAATAGCGCGAGCAATGCCTCAGAAAGTTTTTGTTTTCGCCCAGATTCGCACTTCAACTGTTTTCTCTTTCGATTACTGAAAATCCAAGATATCTACCTCTTTTCGTTAGAAAATTGTAAGCATTTTCATCAGTGATATTCTTTTGAAAATGCATAATACGTTTATTCTGAAACAATAGATCTTGCGAAAACAGGTTCAGTAACCAAAAAATGTGACGATTTGATCACTAAATTCAAAGAGTAAGTGGAGTATCAGAGGAAAAGATACAAAGAATTTTCTTGATTAATTTGTTCAAGTATTTATCAGCTCAAGATGAGCGATAATAGACACGTAGAACTTGCTTTTTGTTGGCCTTTGTACACATTACATAGCACAAAGTGTATGGAAGTGTCATTGTTTATATTTCTTCGACGTTAAATATAACAATATTGAAACTTTTTTCTATTTTGTCCGTTATTCATATTTTCATTTAGAGAAAAATAAGAAATGATACTCAAATATTATTTTGAGAAGGGTTAGAGCAAGGTGCTAAATAATAAAAGTAGAGTAAATTTCTTTACACTGCAATTTTTCTCAATAAATGAATTGGTGATCTTGTTGCTTTCGACAAATATTTGAGCTTTGTCAAAATCAAGTGAACGTCTTTTCGATTTTGCAGTTGATTCATTTCAAATCAGATAAACCTTAGTAAGTTCGAAGAAAGTATTTATAATAGTTTTGTAGCAGGTATCCTTCTTAATATTATTTCTCTAGGTGTGCCACTCATGATCTCGAGTTCTACCAAAATCATTTTACGAATTTACTCATAAAACAAAATGATCTTTTCACTTACGATTTACATCCCAAACATTAATATAAATGTTAAGTTCTTTAATATTCAATCTATATTCCAACATAAAATTAAGATAAACTTGTAGTGTTGCACGTGTACAATCAAGTGAAGTGACATAACGATATGGTAAAGAATTAATTAACTCATTAGTTGTTGTCGTTATTATTCTATCAAATGAGTGAATATGTAAATGTGAAAAACGATAAGGAATTGTATGTAGATAATATATATCATAATCAAAATCACTTTCACAACGATGATCTAATTTAAAGTAAATTTTTTTTTCATCCAACCAAAATGGTGTACGTAGTGATGTCAATTGTTCTTCATTACCACTAAAATCGAGTACACGTACACGTAATGAACTATGAAATTCATCGAGATTCAATACAATTGGTTGCCAACGATTTCCATCAATAAAGAAATGTTTATCATCATCAATGTAATATGCTCTATTGTTTAAGTATAAATAATGAAGTTTACTATTGGATGTTAGACATTGAAGAAACAATTCAAGAAGAGTAAATTCTTCAATATTAGCTGAAAAAGTAGTCATATGTAAATAAAAAATTAGTAGAAATAAATCTACTTATTCACATAACGTGACAGTTCACTGTTCAAGTTTTTGAAAAAGATTTATCAATTTGAAGAGATTTGAATAAAATAAGTAACGCTCGTCTGTGGACTCGCTCAGCTCCTTCTCGTAGAGGTGCTGTTTCTGGACTCTCCCCAAATTATTCACCTATTTATATTACTAATATTAACTAGTTCCAGACTGAAATTCTTGTTTTTGAATTTCCTCTAGTGACGTTTTCTCCTAAACTATGATGACATTAGTATGTTTGACTACTCCTTAGCATTGCTAGTTTATTAACACAAACTTATCATAAATTCTCGTTTTTTATTTGAAAAATCCTTGATCAAGTCTTCCAGAAAAAACACTAATAGTAGTAATACTTAGAAAAAAAAAACAGACTTCGGATTCAGGTTCCTGACCCTCAATTTTTTCTTTTCGAGTGTTGTAAAAAATATTAATGATTAATAATTAAAACAGATTCCAGATTTGGGTTCTCCATCTTCGATCACCTTCGGTCAAGTTGTGTCAAAAATGTAAATAATTAATAATTAGGTAATAATACGTTAATAATTAAAACCGATCTCAGATTTGAATTTTTCACCCTCGAGTACCTTTGGTCAAGTTTTTAAGATAATTATCCCTTTTCTTCTTGGACTGATTTCCGGTCAATCAGTGAAGTGCAGACACACAAGCAAGCAAGCAAACAATTTATGGTTACTGTACTCGTCTCTACGAGAAAGAGAGTATTAGATGGAGTTTTATGCCAAGGAACCACTTGACTTCGATTTTTGAAAATAGTTCGATTTTACTGCCCAAACTTGGTTTAAAAATTTTTTTTGAAATCTTTTTCTCTTTAACTATATGGTTTTGTACAGAGTGTAAATTACTACATATAATGGCATACTTATTTTGAAGTTTTATTGCTCCACAAAACTTGCATATAGCTGTACAGGTGCTGACTCTGTGAGTTAATGTATCCATTCAATTCTGGTATAGATCGACTAAATATACAGGACAGATTGATATCTATGAAAATCATTTTTTTTCCTGATCTCGTTAAGTATCTCGAATATGCTCGACAAAAATCATTTTTTACAGAGTAACGGAAAATGTCATAACATCATGTTTTTCTTTTACATCATTTTTGAAATGAACTGAAAAGACTAGATGAAAATCTTTTCTACCATTCAAAAGTCCATCTTGCACTCTATAAACTTTATTCTAAGAGCTTCCCATTTGATCCTCTAGCAGAAGAATAAATTTAGCTTTACAGAAAAGCATTCAAAAAAAGGACCTTTTTCTGTCACAAAGTTAAGACCTATAAAAAATTGTCAGCAATCTCCGAACTTCATTTTTAATTTTGGAGAAAAGTGCTAATTAATATGTTGAAAATGTGACAACGTCATGATTAAAGAACAAATCAGCTTGTTCGGATCTCACCCTATGACATAAAAAGACTCTTTTTTTTCTTTAGAGCTACTTACAAATACTAACAAAAAATTTCTCTAAATTATTTTTGCTTAGATTTGAAATGCAAAAAATAAACGTACTGCTGTTATACAGATTTTCGTCGATCAGTTTTAAGGCACTTAGCATACTCAAAATGATCTGATTTTTATAAATGTTGGTCTTTTTTCTGGATACCTAGTCGTTCTACGCAAGAAGGAGATTGATATATCGACATCAAAGCTCATAAACTATACAGTAATTCAGGAATTGTACAACAGTCTAGTCGTTGTTCTTAGCTACGAAAAGTCAAAACTAAATAGCTCCTTTTGGAGAGAATGAAATTGTCCATTGATAGTATATCTTTGGGTATTTTTTTCGGAAAAAAAACTCTTCATTAAATTCTCAAAATACGATTTTTGAGAAGTCTAAAACTTGGTTTTCGCTGTCTAAATTTAACTTTTTTACAGAATAAATGTCCAATGTATAATAAGCGTTAAAAAATTGCACCTCGTAATTTATTCAGATCTGTCCAATACAAAAAAAAAAAGTTATTTCCAAAGTTGGCCAGTAAAGTGTCGCGTTATGTGTAGAAATCGAAACATATTGGACAAACAAGTAAACACTAAAAGACACCATCCAGTATCTCTGAGAAAAAATCGAAGTATCCAGGCGCCTCAGAAGCGCTATACCTATATTTCAAGATATCGGCACACAATGTAGCTTTCGTTTTCAGAGAAAAAACATGCATACTGCACTGAGACACACGGAATTGGTCTTTTTTCTGTGAAAAGAGATCCAAATCGAGGAGAGATGTCTCAAATATGGGCGTAGCTTCTCCATACATGGACTCAGCGTTTCTTTTCTTTTTGTCATTTATCAAATTCTTCGAAATTTTTCGAATTCTCCATTAAGATAAAAGGAGAAACATTCGTCGGTACAGATTGATATCAAAATAAATCCAAGAATACAAACTGGTCTTATTGAATTTGTTGACACCTAGATATTTCCATATCTCTTCATTGAAATATAGAAATTCGTTTCTTCCTTTCTGTCAGCAATGGTGGCTTGGAATATTTTGCTCTTTATGGGTGACATTTACTTGAAGCTTTATACTTATGGAACACTAAGAAAAGAAATACGAATTCGGAAAAGAAAGAACACAACAACCTCTAACTCAATAGAAAGAAAGAGAGGTACGATTTCGTATTTTCTTATTATTCTCATGACTGCAAGGTATAGATCTATAGAAAAGATTCTCTGTATGTGTGTATGCACGAAATAGAGAAAAACTTTTCAGCTATTCGTTTATCAAAAGTTCGCTGAAATAGTTCAAGAAATGCTTGTAAAAACTAGTTTTTTTTATGGACAGAAAAATGCGAAAATTGTGACATATGAAAGAACTGTAAATATCAGTCATAGGATCTAGTTTGTTTGAAAGACACATTTTCCTTATTTCTAAACATTGTGACCATTCTGTCGCTATAAGAAATTTGAAAAACAAATATATATATATGTATATCCGAAGTCTTTGATAAGTACGTGGAATAAGCATTTTTTAACGTGGAGTCTGACTTGAGAAAAATTTCTATAAAAAGTCGGCAATTTAATATGCTTCAACTGTTACTTTTTAGATTTTGAAAGATTTTTTAATACTTCTGTCTCTATATGAAAAAAAAAAATTTCTTCTTTCTATTCATTGAAATGAATGACATCAAAGTTGTGAGCTTTCCAGGCACAATTCGAATTGAATACTTTACTTAGTTTTGTAGTAGATAAAAAAAGCTAGAAACTCCTAACATGACTAATTCAGATGAACGCTTCAGCAGACTTTCTCCATTGAATATCATATAAAAAAATTAATCAGTAGAAACGATGATTTTAGAGAGCAAAAAAAATCAACCTAGGTTTCGTTGAAATATAAAGACTCTTTGATGATATAAATCATTTTTAGTTGGAAAAATTTTGATTAAGGTCAACTCATTCACCTATCGATTGTTTATAACTTAATTCCTCCTCGAAAATTTTGTAGGATGTTGTGTACTCCAAAAATGAGCACACTCTAGAAGCGGTCAGTGTGTCGGGCCAGCCGTTTACACGATAACTTTTGAAAGGAGAGTCCGATTGCGATGAAATTTTCTACACAGTTTAGTCTCAACAATATCTCGGTCAAGTTCGAAGATGAGAAGGGTTGACCGAGCCGTTCCTGAGTTATTGCAAAAATACTGATTTTTCCCTACGGCTTCCTATAGAAAAATCGACCTGTCCCCACTTTTGTAAAACATTTTCCCTATCATAGTCAAATAAAACCTCAATTATTGTATACCATTCGATAGAGAATTTCACGAGCTACAAAATGATATATAAAACATAAAGAAACAAGAAGGCTAACTCATCTATTGCAAAGATAATTAAACGGGAATTGGCTCTGTTTTTGTCCACGCTCTAATTGATCTACAATTAGAGCTCTATCTTCCGATCACAGAAATGATACTTCGAGGCTTTCTGGGACGGAGAACTCGAATCTGTACTCCACTTGCCTCGAAATCCCATTGGTTGAGTAGTAACCAATAGAAATCACGTTACAGAAAAAACAACTTTCTTAGGATGAATCAAGACGAAGAGTTCAAATCTGAGCTGTATTCGCCCCAAAATCCTATTGGTTGAGCAGTGGCTAATAGAAATCAAGTGTTTATAGCAAAAGGTTTGCCAGGATAGTTTTTATGCCCACACATTCTAGGATGACTCATCGGTCTCATTCACTTTTTGAAGTATACATAATTCTCGGATTTAAATCCGAGGTTTCCACATTTTTATTTTATTTTTTTTAGTCGTGTTTTTTTTCTCTCCTCTTGCTATCACTCTGTCTGTTCCTCGCCTAAACCGGGCCATCGGTATTGGCATTCTTCTTCTTCTATATCTCTATCTATATTGTGCGTTATAATTGTAATTTCTATTCTCAGCAGCTTTTACTTTATTTTTCTTCTCATAGTTGCACTTGTTCTATGTATTCTCTGCTGTTATCATTTCAATAAATATTTAGTTTTTTGGCGTTGTTATCAGCGTTGAGATAAAGTATGTTGTTATAGGACTTTTTTTATTTTTATGGTGAAAATCATTCATTAAAAAAAGGATGGTAATTCACAGAAATCTAAACATAGTAGATGAATACTCATTAAGAGAAATATTGCCAGAATCGGATCAGCTTATATAAGAAACTATGAATAGATTATATAGTAAAAACAATCAACTCTGAGTTCCACGAAGTACAAGATTCTTGCCAGGATAGAGATTATTTATCTAATCATTCAACATGCTGTCATTCAATTCTTATCTGGTGCGCAATATCCTGTGAATCAGACGAGAAAATTGTATCGTAAATATAAGAGAAGAATTTTGCTAGATTTTTCTAAAAAAAAAAGACTCTGGAGAGAAAAAAGATAGGAATGTAAAAGTGTGTAGGATCGACCAACCAATATCTACACATACACGCACTTCCCTTTTTTTTTCTTTTCTACGATAAATAGTGAATA